CAAGGGCTGACCCGTCCTGTGTGCTTGCAGCCGTCGGTGGGCCAGGTGGCCCGCGTGGACGTCAGCAGCAAGGTGGAGGTGGTGTGGGCTGACAACTCGAAGACCATCATCCTGCCCCAGGTGAGCCCCCTGCTCGGGTTGTGGCTGTGGCACCTGGCAGGGCCCGACCCTCAGCTCGGGGAACGGGGAGACGGCCTCGGGATCTCCGGGAGGGCCTCTCCTTCTGGGAATTAGGGTCTCAGAGAAAGCTTGAGGAGGAACAGGCGTTTGGATGCAGCCTGGGTGAGTCAGGAGAACAGAGGGGCAGCCCGGAGCCCGCCCCCCACCCCGCAGACTCCCCAGACTGGCGGGCCCATGCCGGTTTTCACAGACCCCCCCAGACTTGCCTGGACCCCATCTCGCTGCTGGGAAGGGCAGGTTGCTTCCTGGAGGAGACGAAGCCTTTCCCTCCTGGGGATGCTCCCCAGACCAGGAGGGGAGCGGCCTGGTCCCAGCCAAGGGCCTGGGCAGTGGGGCCCTTTGACCCTTGTTCAAGCCGATCCGCTTGCCCCTCTCCTGGCGCCGACTCAGGCGGCCCTCCCCAGGCGGCCATTCCTGGGGCGGGGCAGGAGATGCCAGGCCAGCCCCCTGCCCCCTCCCCTCCTCCGGCGTCTTCCCGCAGAGCCCTCCGACCCCGTCCTCTGGGCTGGGCCTGGTCTGCGCGAAGGGCCGGTGCTGCGGGGGCCGCGGGCAGGGAGGCTGGGCAGACTGTAGCCGGAGCCCCGGGCCCAGGTGTGAGCCGGCACTTCCCGTGGCCGCCAAGCGCAGAGCCGGGGCAGGGTCCTGCCGAGCCACGGTGGCGGTCGGTCAGCTCTGAGGGTGGGGGTCGGGCACCCCCAGAGCACCTCCCAGCGGCCCGCCGCGTGCCCCGCAGCACCTGTACAACATTGAGTCTGAGATCGAGGAGTCCGACTACGACTCTGTGGAGGGAAGCACCAGCGGGGCCTCGTCGGATGAGTGGGAGGACGACAGCGACAGCTGGGAGACGGACAATGGGCTGGTGGAGGACGAGCACCCCAAGATAGAGGAGCCCCCCATCCCGGCCGCTGAGCCGCCGGCAGCCCCCGAGGAGGACAAGGGCGTGGTCATCAGCGAGGAGGCTGCCACCGCCGCCATCCAGGGGGCCGTGGCCATGGCGGGCCCCGGGGCCGGGCTGATGGAGAAAGCTGGCAAGGACGGGCCCCCGAAGAGCTTCCGGGAGTTGAAGGAGGCCATCAAGATCCTGGAGAGCCTCAAGAACATGACCGTGGAGCAGCTCCTGACCGGCTCCCCCACCTCCCCCACGGTGGAGCCTGAGAAACCAACTCGGGAGAAGAAGTTTCTGGACGACATCAAGAAGCTGCAGGAGAACCTCAAGAAGACCCTGGACAACGTGGCCATCGCAGAGGAGGAGAAGATGGAGGCGACGCCGGACACGGAGCGCAAGGAGGACAAGCCCGAGGGGCAGTCACCGGTGAGGGCCGAGTGGCCCGGCGAGACCCCGGTGCTCTGCCAGCAGTGCGGCGGCAAGCCGGGGGTCACCTTCACCAGCGCCAAGGGCGAGGTCTTCTCGGTGCTGGAGTTCGCGCCCTGTGAGTTGGCCGCCCCCGCCCAGGGGCCCCCTTCCCCGGCGGTCTGGGTCCGCGTGCCCGAGGGCTGGTGGGGGCGTGGGGGGCCCCCGGCGGGGTCTGACCCCTCTCCTTTCCCTCCAGCAAATCATTCTTTTAAGAAAATTGAGTTCCAGCCTCCAGAAGCTAAGAAGTTTTTCAGCACAGTCCGGAAGGAGATGGCGCTGCTGGCTACCTCGCTGCCCGATGGCATCATGGTCAAGACCTTTGAGGACAGAATGGCAAGTGGCCTGTGCGGGCTTGGTGTGGGAGGGCCGGGTGCGCCGGTGGGCGCTGGCTGCCCGGCGGAGTCCGGCCCAGGCCAGACCAGGTGGCCCGCGCCTCCCCTCCTCTTGGAGCTGGTTTGAAAGTGTAATTATCGCCTGAGTTTACTCCCGTGTGTGAAAAAGGATTCACAGGAAAAGCAGGTCGCCCTTGGGGGTCACCTCAGGCTGGGGAGGGGGCGCCTGCAGGCGACCGTGTCCCACCCATGTTGATGCATGCGGACTGGCCGCAGCACAGGCCCGAGGCCGCCTCCGGCTCCTGTCAGGGCCGCGCCCCCGAGGTGCTGGGGCCTGTCCCTGTCCAGGCAGGAAGGGGCAGCTCCGTGCACGCTTCGGCCGAGGGCCTGGCTCGCTCCAGCCCTGGAGGATGGACCTCGGCCGGCCAGCGACCCACAGCGGCCAAGACCTTAGGCCGGGGCAGGGAACTGGGGGCAGGGAGCAGCTCGAGGTTCTTAATGCTGTTGGGGTTTGGAGTCTTCTTGGACTGTGGTAAAGTTCCTTCCCACAGCCCTGAGGGGCGGGAGAGGCGTGGCTCTGTGCCCCTGTGCTTTTCTCAGTCTGGGAGGGGGGAGTGCGCCCCCCTGAGGCCGTAGGGTGGCCCTAAGAATGTCCCGAGGATCCTGGCGCTCACTTAGCCGTCACCGCCGGGATGACATGAGCAGCTGAAGAGTTGCGGCGCCGAGAGGCGCCTGCCCACGAGTGCACACGCTGCTCTCGCTTAGCTCCTCTGGGCTGCCGCTCCCCTCGTGCACCCCGCGCGGAAGCGCCAGAGGAGCGGAGCCCGGCGGTGTGGAGGCCCCGCCAACCTGGCCCTCGCTCGCTCGCTCCCTCCCAGGACCTCTTCTCAGCCCTGATCAAGGGCCCCACCCGCACCCCCTATGAGGACGGCCTCTACCTGTTTGACATCCAGCTCCCCAACATCTACCCGGCCGTGCCACCCCACTTTTGCTACCTCTCCCAGTGCAGCGGCCGCCTAAACCCCAACCTGTATGACAACGGGAAGGTGTGCGTCAGCCTGCTGGGCACCTGGATTGGAAAGGTGAGCGCGGGCGGCGGGGCGGGCGGGGGCCGGCTCCGGCAGCGCTGACGGCGCCCGTGTGCCTTTCAGGGGACGGAGAGGTGGACCAGCAAATCCAGCCTTCTCCAGGTGCTCATCTCCATCCAAGGTACGCGGGGCGGGGGCGGCGGGGGCGGCCCGGGGACCCTCGGCCGGCGCCCCGCCCCGCGCTGAGCTCGGGCCCCCGCAGGTCTGATCCTGGTGAATGAGCCGTACTACAACGAGGCGGGCTTCGACAGCGACCGGGGCCTGCAGGAGGGCTACGAGAACAGCCGCTGCTACAACGAGATGGCGCTGATCCGCGTGGTGCAGTCCATGACCCAGCTGGTGCGGCGGCCCCCCGAGGTGTTCGAGCAGGAGATCCGGCAGCACTTCAGCGCCGGCGGCTGGCGGCTGGTGGCCCGCATCGAGTCCTGGCTGGAAACGCACGCCCTGCTGGAGCGGGCCCAGGCGCCGCCCGGCGGGGCCCCCAAGGACAGCAGCTCGCCAGAGCCGCCGGCCGCGGCCGAGCTCTCAGACCGCGCCCGGGAGGAGGCGGAGGACGGAGGGCCGGCCCCCGGGGAGGCCTCCCAGGGCTCAGACTCGGAGGGCGGCGCCCAGGGCCCCGCCTCGGACGGCAGGGACCACAGAGACCAGACCTCGGAGGCCGCGCCCGACGCCTCGGTGCCACCCAGCGTCAAACCAAAGAAGCGGAGAAAGAGCTACCGCAGCTTCTTGCCCGAGAGGAGTGGCTACCCCGACCTCGGCTTCCCGCTCTTCCCGCTCTCCAAGGGGTTCGTCAAGAGCATCCGGGGCGTCCTGACGCAGTTCCGGGCTGCTCTGCTGGAGGCCGGCATGCCCGAGACCACGGAGGACAAGTAGCTGCCCGCTCGCTCCCCGCCCTGGAATCCGCCCCCTGCCCTCCCCCGTTCCCAGCGCGAGCCCCCCCTTTGCCCTCTTCTCCCCAAGGTGAGTTTGACGCTGAAGTGCAAGAAGTTTCTGAGATGCTGCCATTTCTGTTCGGAAGCAATCTTTCCCCAGGCGCCCACGCAGCGGCAAAGACCGCCCGAGCCCCCCTGCTGACTCCGTGGCCGCGGGCAGGGCGTGCCGGCACCCCTCCCCTGCCGTCAGTCACCATCTCAGGTCGGGTGGAGTGTCCACGGCCTGCCCTGGGGTCTCCACGCCCTGTGCCGGCGGGTCAGCAGCGGGGGCATGGACGTGCCTTGCATGAAGTGTGTCTGCCGGCGCCGCCCCCGCCCGCCAGCCTCGAGCGCCTCTGCCCTCCCCGCGCCCCGCCCTCCTGCGCCAGGCGCCCTCCAGCAGGGCGCTGCAGCTGCTGTCGCCGGCCCCCGGCTCGGGTCTGGCCCACAGCTCGTCCTCAGACCTGTTGAAGTTGCTCTCGAAGAGAGACGGCGGCGGTGGCCGGGGGCCCTCACCGAACGGACGTGAGGACCGCGGCTGTCTCCTGGGTGGGCTGCGCAGCTGCCCTCAGGCCTCGCCCCGGGACTGAAGCCCGGCTGCGCCCTGCTCGGCCTCCCCCAGGGCCCGGCAGGCCCCACGGCCGCGCCTGCAAGGCCAGGGCAGGTGCCGGGCCTCTCCGTGGACCACGCCCCGGCTCGGCCGCACGCCCAGGGGCACGGAGCACAGAACAGCCGGCGCCCCTGCCCTGGGGCGCTCCTGCCCGCTCCCCGCTCCCCCTCCAGTGAGAGCAAGGCCTCCTCAGCCCTGGCGCAGAAACGCTGCGGCTCCGTCCGGGAGGCGGCCGGGGCCTCCTGCAGAGCAGGCCCAGAGGTTTACACGTTTTCTAGCTTTTGATAATGTGAAGCTCCAGGTTGAGAGGAGGGTGCTGTCGGGCACATGCAGCTATGTAATTTTTGGTGTATGTATGTAATATTTAAGGTTGAAAGAAAATAAATCTCAAAAGCAAAGATATTAACTCTTATTAGAAAAAAGACAAAAAAAA